CATCGCATTACGGAAGAGGGAGTAGCAACATATCAGGAAAAAACGAGCGCCATCATTAACTGGCCCAAACCGAAATCTGCCGAGGATGTTCGCAGCTTCCTGGGACTCGCTTCTTATTATAGACGTTTCGCACGCGATTTCGCATCCCTGGCAGCACCTATACATCGTCTGACGCACAAAGGACGAACATTTTTGTGGACCACAGAATGTCAACAAGCATTTAACACTTTGAAGTCATGTCTTGCTGCTCCACTCATACTAGCTTTCCCGGACACTTCTGCTAAAGAGGGTGAGTTTATACTCGATACAGATGCTAGTTCATCAGCTATTGGAGCAGTCCTGTCTCAAATAACACAAGACGGAAGGGAACGGGTCATAGCGTACGCTAGCCGACGGTTAGATAAAAGAGAGACGCGGTATTCTACGACGCGCCGAGATATGCTGGCTTTGGTAAACATTTTGCAACATCTTCGTCACTATCTCCTAGGACGACCCTTTCGTGTACGCACAGACCACAGTGCACTACAGTGGCTTCGTTCGTTCCGTGAACCAGAAGGTCAGGTAGCGCGCTGGCAGTGGAGGTTGCAGGAGTTTGATTTTACTTGCGAATACTGACCCGGAAGCCAACACACAAACGCTGATTCTCTATCTCGTATACCCTATTCGCCTGATACCATTAATGCCAAGTGGAGCAGTTTAAGATTGTATGAAGACACGTTATTTATAGTCAGTGAATCAAAACAGCTACTATTGATAGTACCATGTGTACAAGTTCAGAATATTATGGAGCAGGTACACCGGAAACTGGGGCACTCAGGAAAACGGAAGACTGTACATGCTATCTGCCAGAGGTTTCGGTGGCCATCTATCCATGAAGAAGTTGCAGAATTCTGCAAAAATTGTAGCACGTGGCTTGCTATTAAGTCACCTCGACAAATACCCCGTGCACCCTTAGTTCCAATGACGACAGAAAGTTTCACATCAGCGAGTTGGCATCGATATTATGGGGCCACTCACGACGCCAAAGAACGGAAACCGTTATATACTGGTTATGGTAGACTATTTCAGCAAATGCTGTGAAGCTGTTCCTATACCACAACAAGACGCCCTCAAAGTCACACGGGCTTTCACTGATCATTGGGTATCCCGGTACGGCGCTCTCCTCTCACTCGTTTCTGACCAAGGTTTAGCTTTTGAAAGTCATCTCGTCGCCCAGGTATGTTGATTATTGTGAATCCGAAAAACACACATTACCGCGTACCATCCAGAAGGTAACGGCTTAGTGGAAAGAACCAACAGTACTATCAAAACTCTCCCACAATCGTTTGTCAATAAGTCGTCGATGGAATGCTGGGATGACGTGATATCCCAATGTCTGTTAGCCTACCGCGCATCAGTGCACGGATCTACGGGATTTTCACCTGCGACCCTACCTTTTGGACAGGAATTGCGCCTGCCCGTTGAGCTGAAAATACCGTTGTTACCATGCGAGGCCCAAGATCATGTAGTATACATTCGTAACCTTCGCATCCGCTTAGCCGACGCCTATAGTTTAATGAAGATCAACCTACAAAAAGCCATCAAGCACCAAAAGGATGTGTACGCTCGCAAGGCGAACGGAACTGTGTATAAACCCGGAGATCGTGTGTGGCTGCACCGCCCTTTGGCCTCACCGGGGACATGCAGCAAGTTCCACCACACTTGGCAAGAACCGTATGAAGTTGTGTTTACGCGGTCTCTCACTATCACATGTACTTCCCGATCAGTTGCTGCCGCCTTCTTTTTGCTTTTTCTTCAGCTTATCAATACCCGGAGGATTCTTATTGGTCTTGGTAACCTCTGGCCCGCTACAACCCCACTCAAATTGATATCGAACCAACGTCACGTTGATTCTGGTGGTAGAGTAGTGTAATCGTATTGGGCCCTAACTACACAATCCTCAATACTGAACACGAGACAATTAGGGAAATAGATTTTCAACACTTAACGCTGAGAAATGGAATTAATTCGAGTTGATCGGACGGCATGGCTCGGCCTTGCATGCGTGGTCCCTTTTGAATAATATCTTATATCTTTTATTCACATTAAATATGTTGTTCTATCTCTAGCCTAAACCTGTTCTCCATCATGTATTGGTGATTGTTACGATAAGAATGAGTCAGGGTAGATGATGATGTGACCTCCAGGTAAGATCTGGTAGAGATAGACTTAATAAACTTATTTTGCAAATAGTTTTTAATGTCTTTTGCATTTATTTTGACAATTCTCACAATCTGTATATTTATCATAAATCGATTGCACTTGTTGTTTAAGTATATGACCTTGAATACTTACATCTTTTCTATGACATTGTTAACTGCTCATAAATAAATACACTTTTATACATAACGTCTTGCTTTAAATACAGATTCTAATATCTCAGACCAGCTTGTAACTCTCGTTAGACTCTGGTGGGCAGGTGATTTTTCTCAAATATCATTCAGAAATTATGGTCTTATCAATACCAGAGCATCAGAGGTGTTGTGGTATTCGAGACAAATGATTTTGAAAACATATTTACCTAAGTCACAACCTATGATCAGAACAGCTATTGTGGATACTAATTGTTGACTCATTACTCGATGGTTTGTAGAAGAGTGAATAAACACCAACAAACTCCTAGTTCTTCAACCAAATGCTTTTGGAATATATGCAAATATTTACCCCAACGTGAGATGTAAGTTTATTAGTTCACTTAAGTTTTCATAGTACAAATGAACAATATTTCTATGGAACACAGAACAGGTATTCCACAGATTTTTTACTTATATTATTTGCAGATGAGGAAGTTTTATTTTCACCGGTTCTGTGAAGTACAACAGTTTATTAAAGATTTGTTCTCTTACTTTTCTAAACCTTGTTTTCAAATCTATTAAACGATCCGTAGTGGTACAACTATGTAGTCCAATTATTGACTATGGTTTGATTGACTTTGAAACCGTTATAAAGGAAGCATTTTCGTATAGTTGAATAATCGAAAACTGTGTATCCTTGACACTCTCACAGGAATAAATAAGAAAGCATTGAAGCGGACTGGATGGTGCGGTTACTGTGCAACTGACTGAAAGATCCACGAGTATATTTCAAGCGATGTATTGATGATACAATAGGTGAACCCATTCAAATCTAACGTATTGGAAGGAACTGATATTTGACTACTTTGTATCTTAGACTAACAATCTATTTGAATCATCTAATATGCTCCAAATTAGCTGGTTAGCATAATTGTTGCAATTCTGACCAGTGATTCAACACCTTGTAAGATTTGACTCAAAGTCGGTAGGATTGTTAAAATTGAATTCATTCATTGACTTTCTGTGGGTCCTGAGTTTCATTATTGTTCTATCCTAAGCGATTAGTTATAAAACATTTTAGAAAAAAGTAATGCCTGTCAGTAGAATTCAGAACATTTATTTCATCCCACTCAGAACTCGTCATCTGGATGACAGTGTATGCTAGTGTTGACATAAAATCCAAGACTTAAACTGGATGCCTTTCACTTCAAAATAAAAGCGGATATCCAAATATCTTAAATGTTCATTAGGCTTTCAATCTGGGTTACAGTTACGGGAGGACTGAAGATAGTTGTCTGATTAAAACCCTTATATTGTATATCAATGATTTTACTGTTTTTTGGATGTATTTGTTTTACTCAACTTCCAAACTTGTTTGTTTATATCATTATTTTCGGAAATTTTGGTTTTTTTTCTTTGGTTTGGTATTTGGGAGTTTTATTATTATTATTCTAATAGTATTTAACTTCTATTATTTTTTTCACTGTAACTTTTGTGACGAGTATCTTTGTATACTTTTGTCTGTATTCTGAGAGACGTTGTATTTGCAATTTCCATATCTAGTTTACATGCACGTTATAATTATTAAAGCACTGTCTATATTCCGCAAACATATCGCTTCTTAGCCCATCTGTTGTTCGAATTTATATTCACTATTTATATTCATACTTAACATAAATCTGTTGTATTTCGATGTTCACAGTAAACTCATAAACTGACTGATTTCAGTTTTCATGTCGCTTGAACATTCTGACTCACTAGACTTTTGATGATACAATAATTATGATAGTTTCAGATATTGTTGTTTTCTGTATTTATCATCAGATTTTAAACCAGTTATTTTAAACCTTTTTCGTTAATTAACAAAAATCAACATCTAAAGAGTGGTATGAAGTGGAGAAATTTTCAGCAGTTTAAAAATCCCCATGGATTTCACATACTTAATTATCATCAGACGAACCAACTAAATTCTTGATACGATGCTCAACACGTTAGCGTTTATAGTCAGTTTTCAAATGAGTGAAACATTGAGTGACCTACAAGCTAGTTACTTCTAGTAGTCTATGATGTTTGGTCGTGTCTATTTTGTGTTCATATTCTGTATGTGAGCATATTATTTTATTACATGAACAAAATCATTCATTTGACTAGTCGTCTTGTCTTTGATTTTTAATCATTCTAATACCTCAGTCAACGTACACTCTCTCGTGAGTAGTTACCATCACCTGGTCACATTATATGATTGCATTCATCCACCGGTTCGTGTTACATGTCGATTTAAATATTAGAAATCTCACGTCACACAGAAATCGTACTCTATATTAATTCTATACGATTGCAACAGTAAAATATTTGTAAAAATCACTTTTTAATTTGAATAACCAAGAAGCTTATCAATATATTTTTCGTTGAAAACAAAACAGTGATGAAAATCTAATACAAACGGTACAAAAATGGATTTAATCTAGAGAAATATTTGAGCGCGATGAAAACGATTTTCAGAAAGAAAATATTTCAAACTATTTCATCTGTTGGATTAAAATGATTTGATTTTAGCTATTTAAATTGTCAAGATCAACCCATCAAAATATAACAATATCATATTCATGTTACAAAATGAGGTTTATTGTTGTGAAAAGAAAACATGTAAAACTACACTATGACAGTTTATATCAAAAAGAAATCGCGGAAACACTCCATCAGATATTTCCACATACGAACACGCATTATTTATGCTTTGCTCTAAAGAACACATTTGTTCACAGGATTCATTTTTGAACCAGATGCACATCGGTGTGTAGTGGCAAATTCCTGACTGTGTTTCAGAAGATCATTCACACTGGTAATGAGAAATGTTAAAACAAAACGTATTTAGTAAGTCGTAGGATCATAATAGACTATTCTAATCATTCGTGAATAAATGTATGGAATAATTATTGATTTCATTCATTGAAGCAAATATGATATGGATGATTTGATATTGAATATTCACATCTGCATTAATGCACAGGAAAGAATACAGCCTTGGTGGGTGGATATTTGAGATGTATGTTGAAAGAAATGGAAAGTGTGTCACAAGGTGAAATACTATATAATGCAGTTGGCAAACCACATTGAGTGAAATGTACCCATATTCTGAATATGAAACGACAATCACTGAACTGTAATGTCTGCAAGAAATTGTTTTGTTTAACGTGTTTTTTTTCTGCGATAAAACGGTTAGTTACACTTCTTCACTATCTGTTCAATGCTTGAGGATTAGAATTCGTATGGTACGGATGACTGTCGTGCTTACCTATCCTATGAAATATGTGTCATTCATTAATCGTATTTACGTTATCATGCTTCAAAGATATGAAATATTGAATAATTTTCTCGAAAATTGAAAACTTCAATTTTTAGAGATGAGAAAAGTACACCTTAATTGAGATGAACAGATTAATGACTAAATCAATTACCTGAATTTATGGACGGCGTCGGGAGACTGTAATTTAGTATGAATGACATCTGTGAAGTCGCTATTACACATCATCTTCATTTATTAGGAAAAAACGAAAAGAAGAAAATGATGAACAGCGAACTCAATGAAGATAATAAACACTTATTGCGATATGTATTTAAACTAGAGAGAAGCTTAGACTATAGCGTTTCGAACGAATAACTCCAATAACAAAAGTGTGGAGATAGGCCTAATAAACCTATTTTGTAGATAGTTTTTGATAGCTTTTGCATTTATTTTGTTTATTTCCACAATCTGTACATTTATCACTAAACGATTGTACTTGTTGTTTAGGTCTGTGACCTTGACGATCGACTTCCTTCCGTTTTGAATTACGCATAGCACGACATTGTTAACTGTGCATTGATAAATACACTCTAATACACGCATGTCTCGTTCTATCATGCCTGTGGATATAAGAACTAAACTATTGATTAACTATCATCTATATTTATAGACTGTTGTAACATTCCTATTGCATTCTACGTCAAGAAACTTACTGTAGCCATATTTATCTCACTGGAACTATTAATTATCTATAATTGTGGATTTATGGTACCAAGCACAACGAAAAACGCAACAGCTAGCTGATTTAAGTAACGTCCCTGAACTTTTATTTATAAGTTCTTTATTGTTGCATTAACTTTGGATGTAATAACTTTACTGATATTCCTTTTTGGTTAATATACCTTTTGGTCCACCACAGAAGTAATAGTTTACGTAAAAACGCATTATACGATTGTACTATTCACTAATTATATACTATTTATTCATTATATAGTATAGATTTGAGTGAGAAATAGCTCGGTTTTGAGTAATACAATCCTGTTAATGTGGTAAGCAAAGTATTTTCAACTAGCTGATTTGTGGTTTCTTTCCTTGACTCTTCGAAATCCCAATATAGGTGACGATTTATTGACAAATCTCATCGTTAAAACTCTACTGTCAAATCATTAAACATGTAAGACATTTTCAAATGGTTCTTTTTAAGACAAATGTCACAACACGAGATTGTCAGTGTTCAAATAAAACGTTTCCATTCTTATTAAAACAAAAGTTAGTCTTGATGATTGATTTCTTTTAATCTCAGAGATTGAGGAATACACATCAATTATTCTATAATCACTCTCGTAATTATCATAGTAAACATTTATTCTATGTGCATTTTGAATTAGATGTTATGTAGTCGCTGAACAATGAAAGTAACATTCTTACATGATAATAATGAGGTTGTAATACATACATTTTGTAAAAGTGAAATTTATGATATCTGGAAACATACTTTTGCAAACGATGTGTAAAACGAGTTCTTTCCTTGCAAATCTCCATGACCCGTGTATGTCTGAAATAAAAGTATGTCAGTTAGCAAGGTTGAACAATTCAATGAATAGGAATTTTCACGCATTCATTGCTTAGGAGCAGACCTTTATCTAGATCTCTATATAGGGGCTTCTACAAGAATGGGAAAAACCGGAAATTCACAGTCTATTTATTGGGATTTTGTAAGTTCATCATTTCTGAAATAGAAGACTCCTATTGATTAACCAAGATATGTCATGTGAATTCAACCTACTAAATAGGGTGAATGCGCATGACTCAGTCGCTGTATTATCCTTCTTTCTAGAATCAAAACAGTTATTTGGTGTTCACTATAAAATAGAGTTTTATTCGTATAGCAATTTACATCTGTTGCTTGGCGTGTGAATACAAACGATACACTAACCGATTACTGCCCACTTACTTACTTACTTACGCCTGTTACTCCTCGTGGTGGAGCATAGGCCGCTCACCAGCATTCTCATTCGAACCCTGTCCTGGGCAATCCTTTCCAGCTCTTTCCAACTCTTATTCTTCATTTTCATATCTACTTTCATTTACGTACGTATTGTGTTCTTCGGCCTTCCTCTCCTCCATTTCTTTTCAGGATTTCAAGTTAGCGCTTGTCTCATGATGCAGTTTTGTGATCTCCGTAATGCATTTCCTATCCACTTCCATCATCTTTCTCTAATTTCTTCTTCATCGGGAAGCTGGTTTCTTCTGTTCAACAGTAGGCTTTTGCTGATGGTATCCAGCCAATGTAGGTTGAGTATCTTGCGTCTACAACTATTTATAAATACTTGTACCTAATCACTGCCTAACTCCGCCTGTAGCTCTTCTAGAGTTACTGCCGGTCCCAAGCCCGGACAAAGGAGGAGGGTTGGGCATGAGGTTAGCGACCTCGTCCCGTAGGAAACTAACTCGCTAAAAACATGCTAATCAGAAAAAATAATTCAAGCAATTTAAACTCTGCCCTGGGAGTTGGAAGGTCTTCATTTAGAAGAATTATGACGCTTTATGGTGAAAGACGAGCTCCTTCGGAAGCCAGGAGACCGATGCCCCTTCTAGCAACCAGAGCAACAATTTTTATAGGAACATGGAACGTTCGAACAATGTGGAAACCGGGAAGATCAGTCAAATAGCAACGCAAATGAGGAGATACAACTTAGCAGTACTGGGAATCAGCGAAACCCACTGGACCCAAGCTGGACAACAAAGGCTAGATATGGGAGAGATGCTGTTATACTCCGGTCACGAAGAGGAAAATGCTTCAAACACTCAAGGAGTTGCTCTAATGCTTTCAAAAGTAGCACGAAATGCACTTGTAAGATGGGGAACTCACGGATGCAGAATCATCAAGGCATCATTCAAAACAAAGAAGGAGGGGATCACAATGAATATTATCCAATGTTATGCACACACCAATGATAGCAACGACGACAATAAAGATCAATTCTACGAGCGGCTGCAGTCAATCATAGAGAAAAGCCCAAGAAAGGACCTCACCATTCTAATGGGAGATCCAAACACCAAAGCAGGAATAGATAACATCGGATATGAAGATATCATGGGATGACATGGACTGGAAGAGAGAAACGAAAATGGAGAAAGATTTGCCAATCTGTGTGCATTCAACAAATCGGTCATAGGCGCTACAATATTTCCACACAAACGTATACACAAAGCTAAATGAATCTCACAGGATCACACTACAGAGAACCAGATAGATCATATTTGCATCAACAAAAAATTCCGAAGGACAATGGAAGATGTGAGAATCAGGAGAGGAGCTGACGTAGCTTTAGATCACCACCTAGTTGTAGCCAATTTAAAACTGAAGCTAAAGAAGAACTGGACAACTGGTCAAACAGCATTATAAAGGTTCAATACAGCCTTCCTTCGAGATACTGACAAACTCAATGAATTCAAGATAGCTCTCAACAACAGGTTGCAAGCCTTACAGGATCTACTGAAAGAAGAAGAAACTACTATGGAGGACAAATGGAAAGATATCAAAGAAGCATTAACTTCAACGTATCAAGGAATTCTGGGCATAAAAATACATCATCATAAGGAATGGATTTCAATAGCAACACTGGAAAGGATCAAAGAAAGGAAGAACAAGAAGGTAGCAATTAACAACAGCCGAACACGAGCAGAGAAATTCCAAGCACAAGCTGAGTACATAGAAGCAAACAAACAAGTGAAGAGGAGCATTAAAGCCGACAAGCATAAATACGTGGAAGAAATAGTAACGACGGTGGAAAATGCCGAAAGAGAAGGAAATATGAAACAGCTTTACGATACAACGAAGAAACTAGCAGGGAAATATAGTAAACCAGAGAGACCGGTCAAAGACAAAGAAGGCAGGCTAATCACTGAAATTCAACAACAGCGAAACAGATGGGTAGAATACTTGGAGTAACTCCTAAATAGGTCGGCTCTAATTAACCAAACGAACTTCAAAGCAGCACACCCAGATCTTCCTATAGATGCCAATCCACCAACGACGGAAGAAAACAGAATGGCCATCAGACAAATCAAGAATGGGAAAGCAGCATGGCCCGACAACATACCAGCTGGAACACTGAAGTCAGACATCGAAGTACCCACAAGCATGTTCCACCTACTATTCAAAAAGATTTAGGAGGAGGAACAGTTGCCGATGGACTGGAAAGAAGGACACCTCATCAAGAATTTAAAGAATGGAGGTCTGAGCAAATGTGAAAACTACAGGGGCATTACACTACTGTGCATACCAGGGAAAGTCTTTATCAGAATGTTTCTGAACCAGGTGAAAAACGCAGTAGACACCCAACTATGAGATCAACAGGAAGGATTTCGTAAGGATCGGTTGTGCACAGACCAAATCACAACACTACGGATCATCGTCGAACAATCAGTTGAGTGAAAATCAACACTGTACATCAACTTTATCGATTATGAAAAGGCACTTGACAGTGTAGATAGGAGAACGTTATGGAAACTTGTTCGACACTACGGAGTTCCTGAGAAGATTGTCAATATTATCCGCAACTCATACGACGAACTACAGTGCAAGGTCGTGCATAGAAGGCAACCGAAAGATGCGTTCGAAGTAAGAAATGTAGTCAGACAGGGCTGTCTACTTTCCCCCTTCATCGTTTTTCTGGTGGTCGACTGGATTATGAAGATCTCGACATTTGAGGGAAAACACGGCATACAATGGACATCTCAGAACAATTAGACGATTTGGACTTCGCAGATGACCTAGCCCTCCTATCGCGTGCGCACGAACAGATGCAGATGAAGACAGCCAGTGTAGCAGCAGTCTCTGCGTCAGGAGACCTCAGTATACACATAGGGTAAACCAAGGTCCTCAAATTCAAAGCGGAGAACAGCAATTCAATCACTCTTGATGGCGAGAGATGAAGAATCCTCCACATAACGAGGAAGCATCGTCGATGTACAAGGAGGTTCAGATGCAGACGTAAAGGCGAGGATTGGTAAAGCAAGGATTGCGTTCCTACAATTGAAGAACATGTGGAACTCAAAACGACTTTCAACCAATATCAAAGTGAGAATCTTCGATACGAACGTCAAGGCAGTTCTACTGTACGGCGCTGAAACTTGGAGAACTACAACAACCATCATCAAGAAGGTGCAAGTATTTATAAATAGTTGTAGACGCAAGATACTCAACCTACATTGGCTGGATACCATCAGCAAAAGCCTACTGTTGAACAGAAGAAACCAGCTTCCCGATGAAGAAGAAATTAGAGAAAGATGATGGAAGTGGATAGGAAATGCATTACGGAGATCACAAAACTGCATCATGAGACAAGCGCTAACTTGAAATCCTGAAAAGAAATGGAGGAGAGGAAGGCCGAAGAACACAATACGTACGTAAATGAAAGTAGATATGAAAATGAAGAATAAGAGTTGGAAAGAGCTGGAAAGGATTGCCCAGGACAGGGTTCGAATGAGAATGCTGGTGAGCGGCCTATGCTCCACCACGAGGAGTAACAGGCGTAAGTAAGTAAGTAAGTAAGTAAGTAAGTAAGTAAGTAAGTAAGTAAGTAAGTAAGTAAGTAAGTAAGTAAGTAAGTAAGTAAGTAAGTAAGTAAGTAAGTAAGTAAGTAAGTAAGTAAGTAAGTAAGTAAGTAAGTAAGTAAGTAAGTAAGTAAGTAAGTAAGTAAGTCAGTAAGTAAGTAAGTAAGTAAGTAAGTAAGTAAGTAAGTAAGTAAGTAAGTAAGTAAGTAAGTAAGTAAGTAAGTAAGTAAGTAAGTAAGTAAGTAAGTAAGTAAGTAAGTAAGTAAGTAAGTAAGTAAGTAAGTAAGTAAGTAAGTAAGTAAGTAAGTAAGTAAGTAAGTAAGTAAGTAAGTAAGTAAGTAAGTAAGTAAGTAAGTAAGTAAGTAAGTAAGTAAGTAAGTAAGTAAGTAAGTAAGTAAGTAAGTAAGTAAGTAAGTAAGTAAGTAAGTAAGTAAGTAAGTAAGTAAGTAAGTAAGTAAGTAAGTAAGTAAGTAAGTAAGTAAGTAAGTAAGTAAGTAAGTAAGTAAGTAAGTAAGTAAGTAAGTAAGTAAGTAAGTAAGTAAGTAAGTAAGTAAGTAAGTAAGTAAGTAAGTAAGTAAGTAAGTAAGTAAGTAAGTAAGTAAGTAAGTAAGTAAGTAAGTAAGTAAGTAAGTAAGTAAGTAAGTAAGTAAGTAAGTAAGTAAGTAAGTAAGTAAGTAAGTAAGTAAGTAAGTAAGTAAGTAAGTAAGTAAGTAAGTAAGTAAGTAAGTAAGTAAGTAAGTAAGTAAGTAAGTAAGTAAGTAAGTAAGTAAGTAAGTAAGTAAGTAAGTAAGTAAGTAAGTAAGTAAGTAAGTAAGTAAGTAAGTAAGTAAGTAAGTAAGTAAGTAAGTAAGTAAGTAAGTAAGTAAGTAAGTAAGTAAGTAAGTAAGTAAGTAAGTAAGTAAGTAAGTAAGTAAGTAAGTAAGTAAGTAAGTAAGTAAGTAAGTAAGTAAGTAAGTAAGTAAGTAAGTAAGTAAGTAAGTAAGTAAGTAAGTAAGTAAGTAAGTAAGTAAGTAAGTAAGTAAGTAAGTAAGTAAGTAAGTAAGTAAGTAAGTAAGTAAGTAAGTAAGTAAGTAAGTAAGTAAGTAAGTAAGTAAGTAAGTAAGTAAGTAAGTAAGTAAGTAAGTAAGTAAGTAAGTAAGTAAGTAAGTAAGTAAGTAAGTAAGTAAGTAAGTAAGTAAGTAAGTAAGTAAGTAAGTAAGTAAGTAAGTAAGTAAGTAAGTAAGTAAGTAAGTAAGTAAGTAAGTAAGTAAGTAAGTAAGTAAGTAAGTAAGTAAGTAAGTAAGTAAGTAAGTAAGTAAGTAAGTAAGTAAGTAAGTAAGTAAGTAAGTAAGTAAGTAAGTAAGTAAGTAAGTAAGTAAGTAAGTAAGTAAGTAAGTAAGTAAGTAAGTAAGTAAGTAAGTAAGTAAGTAAGTAAGTAAGTAAGTAAGTAAGTAAGTAAGTAAGTAAGTAAGTAAGTAAGTAAGTAAGTAAGTAAGTAAGTAAGTAAGTAAGTAAGTAAGTAAGTAAGTAAGTAAGTAAGTAAGTAAGTAAGTAAGTAAGTAAGTAAGTAAGTAAGTAAGTAAGTAAGTAAGTAAGTAAGTAAGTAAGTAAGTAAGTAAGTAAGTAAGTAAGTAAGTAAGTAAGTAAGTAAGTAAGTAAGTAAGTAAGTAAGTAAGTAAGTAAGTAAGTAAGTAAGTAAGTAAGTAAGTAAGTAAGTAAGTAAGTAAGTAAGTAAGTAAGTAAGTAAGTAAGTAAGTAAGTAAGTAAGTAAGTAAGTAAGTAAGTAAGTAAGTAAGTAAGTAAGTAAGTAAGTAAGTAAGTAAGTAAGTAAGTAAGTAAGTAAGTAAGTAAGTAAGTAAGTATGTATGTATATATGTAATCACTGCCTAAACTTCTGTTGAAATAATACCGTCTATTACATCGCTTTGATGTGGAATACAGACATTACCAACTATAATATTTCATATAGAAACCATTCAGTGAATTGAAAATGTTACTAATTCAACGGTGAAATTCAACATTTACAATAATACATGTTATGTTTACGTGACAAGTAATACTGATACAAACTTATCTAAATTCACTTACTTTAAAGGATAGCATGAGACCATTAATATCAGCTGACAAAGACCTCAAATTCTAGTATATATGAGGAGCAAAGTAAACACATATAGTGGCTATGAGAACTGTGATAATATATCAGGTAATCTGTGCTTTGATTAAATAGTTTTACAACGTGTTAAATGGAACTCTAAAATGTTTGCTCACCACTTTTACAACTAAATTTCCGTGGTGCATATAAAATTAAAATGAATATAGTCTATACACGTAATTAGCGTTTGTTGCCAAACAATCTTCCTTATTCTTATAACATTCATTCTCTTATCAAGACTACCTTAAATGTACAAATTCAACAAGGTATGTTCTCAACACACAACAAACACGACAGATCTTTATTCTCCATTAGTTTTTACTTCGAATTTTTTCTCGCTCCTCAGAGCTCAATCATTCAATTTGGAGTTTTCCAACTCTTCAACTATAATCATAACCTAATTGAGAAATGATCGACGTGGAAACCACTGTCCTTAATTGATAACATCGATTAATTTCAAATGACATATCGTAAATGACTGTCTATCGTAACAAACTTTATGCGGTATTTATCTTGCTTCTGCAGTAAATCTTTCGTTATAATGCGTTAACCAAAATGCGAAGACGAATTTACTGCATTAAATATCGCCATGATAACTATTTGATAATGTTTGTAAGTTGCCGTGCTTCAGGTAGCTTATAGTTATTGAGAACGAATAATAATAGTTTGTTATGCATTTAAATCTGTATGGTACCAACGGGTTACTGGAAGACGGTCTTCATCTAAATGATCTTTGTTGTCGAATATCTTTTTGTTGAATTTACAGAAAATTGGCATCGACAAGAATTGTATTGTATTGCCGAATGCTCAGCAAATATAGTGTAATAGGCTGCTGAGCAGTTTGAAGTTATGCAGCTTTGAACACTAATGTTACCCTATTTAATTAGATCTTTATTTCAAAGGAAAAAAGAACAACTACAGACTCGTTAGTTAATAAGAAATAGTAAGTGATGTTTATATCCAGCAACGGCATGTTGGCCGAATGAGTGATATGCTATTTTGAGACCATGTGCATCTGATGAACAGAATGCGTTTTTTAAACTTATTCGCATAAAGTTGTCTATGTTTTGTAAGAAAAACGGTTTAGACAACTCAACAATCAACTTCAAGGTTGATATTTCAAAAGCCGTTGAACATGAAACTTTACCTTGACAAAAGCAACTTTTCAAAGGACCGCTTACCTTTTCGTTGTATTCTTTGAACTCGTCTTGTTTCTGCAAGCAGCATAGTTGAGCCTCAAAAACTGTTGCGTCTGGTGAATTACAGGCGAACTGAGAACTCTCAGGTGCATCTGCTTTCTTGTTATTATTTACTGCAAGGCAAGCATAATTTAAACATTTGAGTTTATGCTGGGAATGTAGATAATGGTTTAGGCAGTTTTTATTTACTTCAAACTACCAGGTGTGATGATTTTTATTCAGAAGATTTGCATATCATCAATCTTAGAAATCATGACATTTCCATATGGGTAATTGTGATTCATGTCAACTTGTGGCAAGTTTCGACGACTTTTATTACACTATCATTATCATGACAAAATTGGTCTAAGGAATTTGATTTATTGGGTATTTCCTGAGAGCTTCACGTATCATTTGATAATGAACTTGTTAATCATTAGCTTTCGGCTTTTTAGGGGACACTGAATATCTTATGGAAAACGCAGTTTATTGTATCGAACAATTTTATTACATTACGAGTTTTATTTACGTCATTTATGAAAGTCTTTACACTGTCAACGTTCAAACCAATTAGAATGGTGACTTTTAATTGAGGTCATGAAGCGATCTAAGTTAGTCTACCATTGGAAACATGGAAGCACTGGACGGCGCTTTAGTCCTGTTATGGGACTCCTCAGCAGAGTGCAATCACCATCTTGAACGGCGGAATTTCGAAACTAACCACTAAGGGGCACATGATACTTATCGGCATAGGGTTTTGAATGGTGGTCTGACATTAATCGGTTCATAATCTCAGTTAAACCTCAATGATTTGCACAACACTATTCTGAGAATGACGACCACTAGATTTCTGTGTAAGCAAGTACAGTTACAATAAACACAAATGGTGGTCGTCCTGTCAAGTCATTTTATTGCAGATAAGTAAATGATGAAAGTCACATTGATTTCTGTCATTAGAAATTATTACACATTATCCAGTTTAAGGATTCACACATTGCAGTCTAGGCAGACATTGCATCTCAGTGGAAGTACCCTTACCTATTTCATCATCTCGCTTCAACTAATGATTAAGCATGTAAAATAGATTGGTACATTTCAGTACTTCACGAACTGTTTCAAACAACAAATTGTGACATCAATCTGATTTAGGCAAAATGAACATTATGTAAAATTTACCTTCATACATCAGCTGGCGACCAATAAACCAACCGATAGTCCCATATTGTTCAGACATTGAATATCCTTTTTTGTGATATAGTAGATTTAATAGACCGGCAGATACCTTAATAAGTTTATCTTCAACCGAACTAGATATGTATGGCATAAAACTGAACGCGTCAGGTCTAAATAAATGTGAACAAAAATGTAAGACTCTCTTAGATGGTAAAAATAACGGCTATTTTAAAGTTAAATAATCAATGAAATAAAAAAATTTGATTTAGCTAAATTCGTGTACGTTTATTCGACTCTGATCTTTTACAAATCACAATTCACAGTATACATTTTTTCCTCAGAAAAGAGATAAAATAACGTTAGCATGTAGTGAAGATTGGTGCTGCACAACTTTGAAATGAGGACTGAAATATCTATCAGAAAGACTTGATACTGCCAAGCCAATCGACAGCGACTGAGTAAAAGACTTATTTATCATTGATTGATTCTTGAAAGGCGATCGATGTCACGCTGTTTCATCTTATTTGATGCATAAAGCCAATTGACCAAGTTGTGTTAAAACCATCTTTTCAATCGGGTTGTCATCAAAGTGCATGCTAGTGGAACTTGAAACAGTTTTAGAAAACTAATTGCATACTTCATCTAGGGTTACTAAAGAGACAAGTATTCGGAATCAGTTATCATCTTTAGAACAGATACTTTGAAAGTTAATCTAGTGAATTATGTATAGGGATTCAAAGATGGCAAATGTAACGGGTATTTTAAAGTTAAATAATAAATAAAATAAAAAATTTGACGTAGCTAAATTTAATGTATAAATGGAATCATCTGCCTTGATTATATTGAACATTCGCTGCGCTCTGCTTTTGGTCGACTGTATGAATTACGAGTTTATAAGGAAAGTGACTTCATACGTCACAAAACGATGAACGTGATTCATTTATAAATTCCATGCAATAATTATAGTATGGACAGGAGTTAGGACGAATATTTTGATAGTTGTTTATTGGGCATACTACGTATTACGCATGTTACTGGCTGAAAACAGGTTGAACAGTTTGTCGTAATGGAAATGTTCAAGATGATAAAAGCGCTAGTGGAATAATGTGATGTAATAGTATATTGATTCACTGTAGTTCTTGAGCTACGATAACATGACGTCTGTTTTTTAGTAAATCAACAGGAGTTACACACATAATTCAAGAGGTACACGACGTAAATTTAACCTATTCGCACTATTTATATGTGTGCTTATCATTCAATCAATCTCGGACGATTATGCCTTATGAAATATATCACAGAATGAAAAATCTCAATAACAGTAGAATTCGGAAGAATCTGGATTAAAACTAAATTGGTGATGTTGTGCAGAACAGGTGTTATGGTTACCAGTGATCACAATCAAGGTAGAAGAAGTTATGTGCGGTTAATCGAATCAACTGTACATAATTAATTTCTAACATACAAATACAAGTCGATCTTAACTATGCTTAGTCACACATTCTGTTTTCTATTCTGCTCATTATTACGTTTCCAATATAATCTAACCTTCACAAACTCAAGTACACTGAACATTTGTGAATAATTATATTATTGACTGGAATTCTCGGTTGTATGTAGCTGATAGGAAAACGTGATTTGGAATAATGAGTACATTTTATTCTGAAAATCTTTTCGTTCCTGCTTTTTTTAAACTTATCAAGGGGTCTGGTTGTGTGGAGCTTAATTATGTGATGTATTTTACTGCTCAGAGTTAAATTTGTTTGGAAGTATATTAATTAAATGAAGATATGTTTTATTCAGTGTATTTGCCTATTCGAAATTTGTAAAACAAATACTTCAAAATAATAAATTACTCCACGTCAGTATCCAGTGGTTTGTAAATTGATTTAAGGAACTTGGTTTTCTGGGAATAGTACACATTCATTAAGTAATCATCCTCGGAAATTTCATTCTAAAACAGGAAATGGATATTTTCATGAACTTTTAGAATATTCATCAATTAAACGAATGTAAGAAATTTCCAGATGTGTCACCATTAAAATGTTTTGCTTTAAATATTCGTGAATATGTCCCATCTAAATACTTTATTCATTGTTGCTCGTAGCAGTTGTTCAGGTCTCTTCAGATACGTTAAATTATTTCCATTAGATTGGCACTTTTTGAAGAACAAGGGTGTCACAGTTACGCTGTCATGAGACTGAATGTTGTTTCACAAAGCGCTCCACTTCTTTTCAATGAAACATTCAAAATCAAATGTATTTGACAGGATAGTAAGTAAATGAAACAGGCAGAATGATATAAGTATCAATTAGCACAGATATTGAAGACTATAGTGAAATATATGCAATGATGTGAATTTTACGTTTACGATTCTACAGGTGAACAACATTTTTCAACAAGGTTTTTTATAATTAGTTAAGGCTTGGTAGTTCCACATCGAATCCGTTTTACAGTTTTGATCAAGGAACAATTTCCAATTGACATTTGGTTTTTGAAATAGCATGATATGTCCTTCTTAACATTATTTCCTAATTCCAAATATACGTATGTTTTAATAAATTCTCAGCAGTATCATCAAAATGGGAAAATGTACATTTGTATATTTGAGCGAATGCCTTTAACCATTATGGTTTTATTCGTGAGACACAGAATAATTTATCTTCGCATTAGATGAAGGAGGCAAATGTCAGAGTTGTGATCTAGATAGTGTAGTCGGCAAGCGGGCGCTGAAACATTTGCGACAAAGTACATAGATGGAATTAGAAAACTGAGGTCTATGTATGATCGCATTTCAGAACACATTGCTAAAATCCCGAGGCTAATAGACACCTCAACCCTAGATATTGAGATCGCTGTCTATTCAGCCGATAGCCAGCATGTTACTGACGTTATTCATTCATCTGAAATAATTGACGAACAAAATCTAATTTCGTGAAGCTTCACTGCAGCAGTGAGTAATATTATTTTCGAACCTAGTGTATCCTATCAGAAAGAGACGGGTGTATATCAGTTACTCCTAAGTTAAATTGAGAAATTTTACTAAACAAGCTTCAATAGCCAGAACATTCGTTCCCGAACTGTCTAAGCAACAACAGCATTCTTGGAGTTATTGTGAGCTATTCAAATCTTCTATAATTGTTACACATTCCTTCTTATCAATTCCGTAATTATGTGTGATTACTGCCCAGTCTACTATATGTTTGCTTCATACACCGCCCTCAACATATACTTGTATATATAGAGCTGATAATCTGTATCATTTCAGGTGCTTGGTTTTATAGTTAGGCAGTATGTTATATCTCATGACAAGTATGATTGTAAGCAGTTGATGAGAAATCGCGAAGTGAGACGAATGCATATTATTCTGTTCCATTCACTGTATTTACGTTAGTCATGAACGGTTAACGTCAAGACAAGTCATATGGTGGACAGAGTGGTAGTACAATGAAAATCTCTTTCAAGACGTCTAGTGATTGTTTTTGTTTAACGAATTCAGTTCACCCATAGTTCCAGGATAATAATCAACAACCAATAAATTATTTGTGAAACTCACATTGAATATGAAATCTCGGCTGTCTCTTTCGGCTGCGGACAAACTTTTCGAAGTAATTATGGACAACTGATACTCATTAGCCTAAACAAACAAATGGAATAGTGTTCAATTGATCAGTTAAAATAGGACAAACCAAGTTGATGAATTTCTGCTTTTCATCTTCACTGGACCATGACTTTGATGACAATGAATTAATGAAGGTCGTTTTCAATTGTTTGAACATTTCGAGAACCTATTCAATGCATAATGATATATTGCTCATAATCAAAGTAATTACACAAATGTTACAAAATAAACTATCAGTACTTTAGAGGAATCAATGTGGCCGACTGAACACAATCGTTCATTGTTCTATTGCCAAATCGATGCAAAAGAAACAGTCCCCGAGGAAGAATCATTCAGATATGCATGTGATCAAACAGACAACCGTCATCTATGAAACAAGTAAATCGCTTCATCACTAAATGGTAGTCCATCTGAGTAGAACGCAAAAACGTTTACTATAATTTGCTTAAAGCGTATCGTAGTGACATAATTATATTAGTTTATGATTAGAAACAATGAAATTGTCTTCAGTTTTATCATTGAAATGAAGTTCTTACTGACGACATATTGCATATCTGAACACGATTATCTATAAGAAGACCAATATCGTGCTTTCTCCAAATAGGTAAACAGAACAATGAATAGTCAGATTTTTAGTGAAATTGTAGACTCACTTGATTTTGTGTACTTTCACTTATACTAGAATATTTTTGATACTTTTCTATTGTCCATCGGAAATTTTCTTTTACTTCATCAATGCAACTTGTTGGCTTTTTCGCTGACATTTCTGTCGACGTCAATAAATGAAGTGATATAAAGAGACCAATAAATGAAACATCGTTTATTTTTAATTCATATTGAGTATCGTATGACTTATTACAGAATCGTACTCATCTATCCTTTCTCATTAAAAAAATAAATACCGTTTGAAATTAGCCAGATACATGTACATTAGTAAGACTTGATTTGATTGTTGAAATGACATATCAAAAGTGAATTGGTGTGAAAAATGAGAGAGAAATTCACTGAAGAACTATGACTGTGATGTGAATAAGTGACGCTTGTTTTGTGATATTTTATTCGAATGATTATTTAATCCATTGTGTATAATATGTTGTCGACTATTATGTATCTGGAATGTATCCTAATAATAATGGTTTATATGTTGAATATATCGACATTTGTGTAAATTATATTCCGGTTGGTTTATTTGTTCTTCCTTTACCTCCAATATTGAAATGAAAACGTTTGGATTTGTAGTGTTAGTCATTAGTTTTAGCCCATAATATATCTTATTCTAGTTTGCGGACATTCCATTCTATTCATTCTACTTGAGTCATATTTTGACCTTGTCAATTATTCGCTTGTCAGTCTTGATTGTTTTTATATGAGCGTATATATGTGTGCCCTTCGTATTCCATTAATCACATGTCTGTAGCTTTATTTTTTCTGACTATAAATATTGAGTACCGCTTCACTAAAATGGAGTTGGCTTCCCAGCCATCTTCCCTGCGTGTCATTTTGCTCTGCTCTGTTTCATTCGCTTCATATACCAAATATATGTATTCTCAAGTCAATGCTCGTTATTCGACTTATTTAATTCCGTTATTGACTAACGCGATTTAAGTCGACGATTATATACGAGAATAAGCGATAAGAAACATTCGTACGATCTAAATAAGAGTCATATCCTCGGGCCACAAAAGATTAAACATAGACAAAATTGGAAATCAATTTGTTTAAGGAAACTGACAATGTTACTTACGAACATTAGCAGGATAAAACTCTTTGAAATACCGATTCAATATATTTCTCATGTTGAACAAGAAACTGATCACTGTCATCGAGTGTAAATTTCTTTGGAAATACATGTTAATAAATAATGATTATTTATTGATATACAATGAATGAAAAGTGGTAGTCATATGACCTGACAATAACGAGGAAACGTTTTGTACAGAACCAACATTAGTGGTAATTTGTGAGACTAGGAAAATAAGTTATCATGAATGACGATTACTTAGATATGGGAAAGAATTCACAGAATGGCCGCTATTCATATTCTCCAAGTGAGACAACCGATACAAATGATTTCAGCCAGTAAATCGAGAAGTGATTAACCAACCCGCCAAACTTATTTCTCTATCTGTCTACTTGATGGATATTCGGGCTCTTAACCACAAAATTATGATTACTTTCCTTGATACAAATAACGTTTTAATTTCTTTGTTTATTCCACCTCACTGTTATCGTGTTTTACAGAATTTTATTATCACCCTTATTGTAAGTATTGTCATTGTGAAACATGAGTTAATATTTGCGATTGAACAGCTTGGAAAATGAACTTGCCGAAAAGAAAACTCTTCCTTGAACCAAACTTTCTTATTTTATGTCTATGATCTAACATCGAATCGAACTCAGAGTATAAATATGAACTGATTTTGACTTTCAAACTAAGGTTCGCACTAGTCTGGATCCAGTTCTTCTTATTTTACCCAAGTCTGATTAAATTACCAGTTTTAGGATTGATCACATAATATTCTCGTGGTTACGTTGTACTATTTAAACTTGGATTAATTTCGATTTGTTTATTTATTCTCTGAAGAAGTGGATTACTCCGAGTCAGGAAACGTCAAAAAGTTCAATTTTTCCACTCATTATGATATTAAAAATATATTAATTTGCTTATAACAATCTACCCAGTGCTCACGTTTTTCGAAATTACCAAGTTAAACCTTGGTAATGATACCTACGTGTCTGATTGTTTGCTGAATTAAGAGTACTTACTGTCGAATAAGCAAAAGTCGTATTTCTCTAACGATAATATTGAACAATGAAACGGTGTGAAAAAAATCGCATTGCGATTTGATGTAAATAATTATTAGGTGGATTTTATTGGAATTAAAATACGTGTAGTAGCTTAGCAACTTATTTAATGTTCACTTCCTGGATTGAATTGTTTTGAATATCATATCAATAAATGAGAAAAACGGTGTGAAGATGAATATTAACAACAAGGATTTTGTCAGAACAAATCGTTTCTAAAAGCGTAGCATTCACTAATGAAAGGAAATTACTTTCTTCCTTTTTCTGTTCTCATAAACTCTGTGTGTTTATCACAAACTCTCTTCAACGAATCTTGATTATAGACAACAATTTTCATATTCTTGTATGAATCATACTTGATTTCATTGAATACACTCTCAAATAAAAGATTCCAATCAATCTGTTCAAAACAAATAACAAGTTGAAATACATTTACGAAGACAGTAAATGATTTATGTCACAAATCGATTTCCTACACATGATCAGTGTCTCTCAGCTAATCGTGATCGGTAGTTATCATATATTTTGTTGTAGACAATGAACGTAAACAACACTGCACCGTTCTTATTAACTGCATTATCGTTGAAAGATAATTTTGTATGAAGTTTGAACCTATAATTTTTATTCATAATACTTTTGAAAGAAGTTGACTTTGATGAAATTGAGACACCATTTTGAACAACAGACAAAGCGTTTATCAGATCTACGAGTTCGATTTAAGGGCAACTAAGTAGTAACAAACATTTGTTGATGTAAGCGGATACTATAGCGACTCACGTGCAATTGAGTTTATTCTCATTTAACTCAGTTAGGCCATTTTGCTAACTTATTTAGCGGACAAAGTCATCCGCGTTATAACAATTTATTGTACTCTTATTATTTTGTGCTTGTATGAAATACGTATCTTGAATATTGCTTACGGCCTACGCATTTATTCACTCTGCTAGTCTTACTACTAACTGCTTATTTGATTCGATTACTCATTCATTTCAAATGGTATATATATGTCCATGTTATTCATATTCAACACACTCACTCACTTAAACGCTCTTGCTCTGGCTCTCGCTCGCTTGCTTGCCTTTCGGCACAACTCTTCTATGCTTGTTTAACGCATCTGTACATTTGGATATATGTGTGTGGTCTCGCAATAAACGTAATCAACACTTCGTATTTGCCTTCTGATTAATATACCGTTGGGACGTTATATAGAACGGTTATCAAGACGAGCTGTATACGAAGTTTAAAGATTATATCGAATACCGACCACCACAATACATTATATCGACTTACATTCTAATTTTGAGTATTAAGAAATGGTAAGACAAGAGTCCATTGAGTAAAGGTTCTACTTTTACGAACATTGATAATGTACTTTTGTGGATACTGTGAATTCGCCTGACCTGATTTTCCATTCTGAGACATTTAGTTCAGCAAATAGACGGATTTAGATTCCAACCGTCTTCATATAGACAGATTTATATTTTAATAACACATTTCCAGCATGGATATGTAATCAGCTTCGTTTAATTTGTTGTGGTTTTACAAACGGGACATTTCTGAGTGCAACATCACCATAAATGACGTTTTGGGGTCAGTGGGTGACAATTTGATGAGGGGAACAATTGATGTTCAGTTCGTATTGTTTGATGAATTTAGTCGCAGATGAACGATTCAGTTCACTCAGACACATGCAATATCAAAACAATTTTGATTCTTCCACTTGTGGTAGATACTAATAATTTTATTACTTATTCTCTAAGACTTAAGATTTGAGCGTACTCAACACCTTGGCGACAAAACTGTAGCTGAATCAAAGAAAATATTGTGGGATTAGGTAAGGGTTATTTGTGTCCATGGTCAGTGGTCTATGCTCCATTGGGAGTGACAGGTGTAAGTAATTAGGTAAGTATTTGTGCTCCGAGATGTGCGAATAAATGCATAGCATCAAAGTATATGTAGTGTTATGTATGTGGTAGTGACCAATAAAATCATTACATGACCTCGTTACAACACTGATAGTGTAGAACTAATGCTGAGGATTGACAGATCATAGTGAAGATTGTTGTTTTGGCACCAATGAAGGCCACATTAATCCTGCTTTGATGTGACGATAACAGTAAGTCGCTGAAGGAATGAGTGAATTCTTTTCTTAGTTTTATGATTAGAGAATTTATGAAGGTTAATAGTCAACTAGCTGGTAAATTACTGGCTAATCTTAAGTAAACGTTCACATTGACGAATCTGACATTCATTCCGTGATTGGAATGAGAAATTTGCTTCACATGTAAGTGACATTTTAAAAACAGTTTGAGCGTCAACTCACTATTTCACAGATTTCCGTTAACTTCTCAATTGTGACTTCTGAATCAGGACCAGATGGTTGTATTGCCTGAAATAAATATAATAGCGAAGTTTAATCACAATCAATTATCTGATTTGGTTTATTGAGTGGGTGTTACCAGGGATTTTGGAACTAGATCAACACAGCTGTTTAATGCCTTCATCATAGTTATCACTTTTTAAAGAAAAGAAATTAGTGTTATGACAACATGTTGCATAAGTGTTTATAATCCGTTAGAAACTTCATAATATATATCTTAACAAAAAACCGAGTGTTTCCGAATATTCCATTCCTTTTAAAATAAAATCTGTGTATCGTCAATGTTATCAGATGCTTATCTACAAAACGTTGTTTCAAAGTGGCCAAGGTATTCGGTAATATTCAGTAGTGTTTTGAAATTTTCAATTTATGTAAGTGAACTATAATATGTTATCATTAATGATAGTGAAATTTTGTATTATATATTCTCTTGTGTGCAATTTTACAAACTGAAGCATATATATAGAGTTCAGTGGGAGGAAAACGATAAGTATTTGCATCAATAATATTAGCTTTGCTTCACAGTAATCGACTAGCGAAAAGAAAATTCAGCGAAGAAAAATTTCTTTTTAAGGAAATCATTTACTTAAGCTGTACATTCTTATATATATAGTTATATGAAAAGTATATGTCTATAGCGGACATTTTCGAAACGCACCTCAGAAAACCATCCGGCTTGGCTTTTAAAAGGAAAATGTAAGACAATGACTAGTTCTATGTAGGGGCATTTAATCAACTGTGGACACATCGTTCCAAAGGATTCTTATTTTAAAGTAATCTACAGAATGAAAGGAACTGGATCGAGAGGGTGTCGAATCAATATTTTATGCGCTGCTGAGGAAACAGCAACATGCGAACTCAAGCCCAAACTTTGTGCGCAGAAACGATTCGTCCAACCTCTCATCCTTCCTTGACCCTAATCCCCTTTATGGGTGTTTCGGGTTTTTTTCTGCACTTTTATTTGATTATTATTGAACTTTTTTAATCATTATTTTGCAACTTTAAACTCTAGTCAGTTATTATTATTACCTAATACAAGTTTTCGTGATTATTTTTCAGTTTATTATTATGAGCGTTTTGTTTGTCGTTTTCTTCATGTCTGTAAATTGGACTATTATCTGACCCATAAGTTATATTCTTCCCTACCCCTTGACTAGTGTGTAACCTCATTTGTTATTTAGTCTAGAGTCAATTTATGATGCAACCTTTTTTATCCACCTATAGACGTATACTTTCCATATAACCACATATACGAATGCACAGCCTAAGTAAATGATTTCGTCGAAACGAAAATTTTCTTCGCTGAATTTTCTTTTTCTTATTCAATGACACAATGGGTTGTTTTAATTCACTGTAATCTTTTCTAATAAAACACGTTGCAGACATGAAGTTCACAGAACAGGGTTTGTTCACATTGGCAAAAATAATTTGAGGAAAGCTTTAATTTCCAATGAAATTCACGAGAAAGAGAGGTCTGTTATTAGTTGAATTGATGTTCAGTCGATAACATAAAACGTTTGTTCACGTTATTTATCGTCTGCTATATCTCTGGATAGTAGCCTATTACGACCCAAAAAAACACTTACACTACTGGGTATCTAAAACGTTATTTGATTGCCAAGTCCTCATACGTGCATGCTCATGACTGAAATACAAGTGTACTGATCACTGAATACTACGTCCATCTTCTACAAAATAATGGAGTGCATAAAAAATGCATAACAACATAATTTCGAATAGTTGTGAAGTAATCATGATCACTTCACTCACAAGTTTGATTTCAGAATGCAAGCTGAAAGCTTCTTTTATAATTTTTTTCTTCGTAGGTCCAATTGTCTTCATATATTCGAAAAGTTGTTCACCCTCACTTGTGCTCTCACCATCGGACTGTTAATTGAGAATAAAGAAAATCGTACAAACTTCCAATCCCATGAAATGTTATTTATTGATAGAATATGATACTTCCATAAGAATGAGTAGGATAATTACAAACGGTGATACTGATTGCCCATAGCATTTAGTTTGGTTTACGATAAGTCATAGGAATATTTCCCTGATCTAAGCAAACAGTTTTTTGATTATATTTATTATCTTGTTATTGCCACATTTTCAAGTGCCTATCCATTTTAAAAAGATTTTACGTCGTTTGATTTGAGATACGAGAAAAGAGACACGTAATTATGGAAATTTGTACACTAATGTATATATAACTTGTTTGTTGTGGATATCACAAAAACGATTCTAAAATTCTTCGACTCTTCACATCCTGTTTTATATATTCTGTATCACAAGTCACAATTGGTCAAGAATAAACTTCGGATGAAATTTTCTTAATTATTGTAATAAAAATAATTCGTGATAGTTTAATCTTACCACGCTAGAAGTAACAGCATCAAAGGCTTCCAGTGAACCTGGAGAAATCTGAAATACAGAACAAAACAGCTGTATTTTTCACCGGGAACCAAATGAAATGTTATGCAACTAAAATGTTTTTTTGGAAAACACTTATTCCAATAGATGGTATCCATTAGAAACTTCTTTTGTTGTTTGAAAAGTAGAAACAACCTACTTTGATAAATTATATGACCCTATTTAGAAAATAAATGATGATTCACTCATACAAAGGATCACTCGATTTTTGTTTATCTGCACACAGGATTCTCTCTCGAAATGCACAGATTTATCGAGTTGTAGTTGTAGAAAACAGTAAAAATAATTTAAGCATTGAGAGTGTGATCAAATAGAATATAGCTTAATAACCTAAACTGGGTGAATGAACTGAGATAGGATTTGTCATTCAGGAAAGTCAAATTCTGTTGAGAGATATTCAACAGCAATCTTTAAAATTATTCAGTACAAGAGCACAAATTACTTTTTAAATAGTGTGAGATTTTTGCATGATACTGCGGTAACTCATACAAACATAAATAAACATTTCATTATAAAAACGTTTACAGATGCCTTTACTACTTGATCTACGAACTGTCTGTGGTGTTTCACCAAACACGAACCATAAAGTCGTATGCATTTTATCACTGTCCAAATTTAAATCTGATTTATCGACCTAATGCTCTTTGAATCAGATCAGAGTGATGTAATTTCTCAGTTACACACTGGGTAAATAAGATACTATCCATCGTAGAAGAAAACACGACTTTTCGTCGATGAACCATCATTATGAAAATTTTACTGAATCAGATGCTATGAAAATATTTTCAATGCAGCATAAGTAGTGAATATATATATATATGCCTATGGTATTTTACAGTCGTTTGTATCTCATGATAAGTTTGGTCGTGTCTCCAAACAAATAGGAAAAAGAGAATTGTTTTCAACTCAACAAACTCATGCACCTTAATTTATTCGATACATTCAAATGTGACAGAATAAAGTAAATATCTTGATCGACAGGTTCTGTTGACAAAACGAGTAGAAATTCGAATCGGTCACATTTTCATTTTCAAATGCAAACATAGCATAAAAATATGATGCCTCAGTGAATTTGTGCTAAGAATTTGATTTGGTCTTGCGAATTTAGCATTTCAGTGCATATAAGTAGAACACACTAACATAAATTAATTGACCGATTGACTAAACGACTAAATGTCATTATGACGAAATCAGGATCCATGAAAATTTATCGAGGGTTTTCTTCAGTAAACAATAACTTGTTTCCAGTAATCCTTCAAATAATATAATTTCAATTTGGAAATAGTATAAAAATTGAACACTTAAAACGCGGTCTTACAGTTCAGCGCCCAAATTATTTAATACTAAGTAACTCACATGAATGTGTGGGTTGTCATCCTTTATTAGCTTTAGTGAAAATAAAGATGTACTTCCACTTTGAAGCAACAAAGGTAAAAGTAAACCCGTAAGACTGAATGTTTCATCCCTCATGAGACTCTTTCTGACAATCAAGGGGTTTTTGTTGTAATCATTTGTCAAGTACCACCCTTTGAATAGAGATATTATCAATTTAATAACGTCTTCTTCAATCACATCAGTTCCCCTTTTTAAACTGTCCGTACAAGATGTGTAGTAGTTCACAGCGCTCTTAAAGTTTGAATCATCTGGATAGCCTGTAATTTTCACTTGAAACAAAAGCATAATAAACAAGTACCGTTATTTACCTAAACAAATAGTTATTTATTGATTAAAGATTTACAGGGAAAAAAGATAGATTCATAGTAACAGACGCATCGTCATTTTTGTTGGGTCTATTTGGTCAATTCAATAAGTTCTGGTTTCAAATTTGATCTGATCAGCCAACCACATGAATCAAGATCAATGGTCCTTACGAAAGTTCGCAAGAACGTCAAACGGGGAGAAGCGATTTGCTCAGCAGTTTCATAGTCAACTGTGTGTAATGGCGTACCTCAATATTTAAATTACCTTCACACACTTACTTGTAACAGGCTCCTGAGTTTCATCACCTATAACAGATCCTCCTGTAGCTGCAGACAGGTTGTCATCGATGGAGGAAATTTAAAAACCAAACGGAAACAATTAATCAGTCTGTGTACAGTGAGGTGACGCAGATATGTCACTCGATCTCACATAATCTTTTTCGACAAGTAGGGTTGCCGACCATAGTTATCCACATATACAAGTAATTACATGGAAAATGTCTCACTGCAGCCACGACAACCTTATGGGAGACGCGTCGCCCTGTATCGAATGATTTGTCTTTAACCTAGTTCAAGTGATCGATCCTAATAACAACCATGTTCGTTGCGTAATATTCTACAATAAATGCCACAAACAACCATTTTACAATCATTACTCAATAAATTTTATCACCATTCTTTGGTTTAACACTCGTGAAACTATTGTCGATGCATGTTCCATCTTCACAAATAATAAAAGAGAAATGTAGTGCACATTTTAGTTACATTCCACTTCATACTCAGAATATCGCTGTCAGTTCAACAAATTGGTTATAGGCGCCACAATATTTTCACACAAACGTATACACAAAGCTAAATGGATCTCACAGGATCACACTACAGAGAACCAGATAGATCATATTTGCATCAACAAAAAATTCCGAAGGACAATGGAAGATGTGAGAATCAGAAGAGGAGCTGACGTAGCTTCAGATCACCACCTAGTTGTAGCCAATTTAAAACTGAAGCTAAAGAAGAACTGGACAACTGGTCAAACAGCATTATAAAGGTTCAATACAGCCTTCCTTCGAGATACTGACAAACTCAATGAATTCAAGATAGCTCTCAACAACAGGTTGCAAGCCTTACAGGATCTACTGAAAGAAGAAGAAACTACTATGGAGGACAAATGGAAAGATATCAAAGAAGCATTAACTTCAACGTATCAAGGAATTCTGGGCATAAAAATTCATCATCATAAGGAATGGATTTCAATAGCAACACTGGAAAGGATCAAAGAAAGGAAGAACAAGAAGGTAGCAATTAACAACAGCCGAACACGAGCAGAGAAATTCCAAGCACAAGCTGAGTACATAGAAGCAAACAAACAAGTGAAGAGGAGCATTAAAGCCGACAAGCATAAATACGTGGAAGAAATAGTAACGACGGTGGAAAATGCCGAAAGAGAAGGAAATATGAAACAGCTTTACGATACAACGAAGAAACTAGCAGGGAAATATAGTAAACCAGAGAGACCGGTCAAAGACAAAGAAGGCAGGCTAATCACTGAAATTCAACAACAGCGAAACAGATGGGTAGAATACTTGGAGTAACTCCTAAATAGGTCGGCTCTAATTAACCAAACGAACTTCAAAGCAGCACACCCAGATCTTCCTATAGATGCCAATCCACCAACGACGGAAGAAAACAGAATGGCCATCAGACAAATCAAGAACGGGAAAGCAGCATGGCCCGACAACATACCAGCTGGAGCACTGAAGTCAGACATCGAAGTACCCACAAGCATGCTCCACCTACTATTCAAAAAGATTAAGGAGGAGGAACAGTTGCCGATGGACTGGAAAGAAGGACACCTCATCAAGAATTTAAAGAATGGAGGTCTGAGCAAATGTGAAAACTACAGGGGCATTACACTACTGTGCATACCAGGGAAAGTCTTTATCAGAATGTTTCTGAACCAGGTGAAAAACGCAGTAGACACCCAACTATGAGATCAACAGGAAGGATTTCGTAAGGATCGGTTGTGCACAGACCAAATCACAACACTACGGATCATCGTCGAACAATCAGTTGAGTGAAAATCAACACTGTACATCAACTTTATCGATTATGAAAAGGCACTTGACAGTGTAGATAAGAGAACGTTATGGAAACTTGTTCGACACTACGGAGTTCCTGAGAAGATTGTCAATATTATCCGCAACTCATACGACGAACTACAGTGCAAGGTCGTGCATAGAAGGCAACCGAAAGATGCGTTCGAAGTAAGAAATGTAGTCAGACAGGGCTGTCTACTTTCCCCCTTCATCGTTTTTCTGGTGGTCGACTGGATTATGAAGATCTCGACATTTGAGGGAAAACACGGCATACAATGGACATCTCAGAACAATTAGACGATTTGGACTTCGCAGATGACCTAGCCCTCCTATCGCGTGCACACGAACAGATGCAGATGAAGACAGCCAGTGTAGCAGCAGTCTCTGCGTCAGGAGACCTCAGTATACACATAGGGTAAACCAAGGTCCTCAAATTCAAAGCGGAGAACAGCAATTCAATCACTCTTGATGGCGAGAGATGAAGAATCCTCCACATAACGAGGAAGCATCGTCGATGTACAAGGAGGTTCAGATGCAGACGTAAAGGCGAGGATTGGCAAAGCAAAGATCGCGTTCCTACAATTGAAGAACATGTGGAACTCAAAACGACTTTCAACCAATATCAAAGTGAGAATCTTCGATACGAACGTCAAGGCAGTTCTACTGTACGGCGCTGAAACTTGGAGAACTACAACAACCACAATCAAAAAGGTACAATTATTTATAAATAGCCGTCTACGCAAGATACTGGACATCCATTGGTCGGATACGATCAACAACAGCCTTCTCTGGGAGAGAACAAACCAGCTTCCCGATGAAGAAGAAATTAGGAAAAGACGATGGAAATGGATAGGACGTACATTACGCAAATTTAGAACAACATATATTAGCGAACAATATTGTTTTCGATTAGATCCTCATCAGGCTTTACTCTAATATACAGTAATATTTATATGCATATACGAAATTATTAAACCAATCAATGTAGTTTATAAGTCAATGATAACAATGGAAAAGATTACGTAATAAGTAAAATGTGAAAAGTACAAATTGATGGTGTGACAACAGGTGCATTAGTTTTTGATAAGCAATAATAATAAAGGTTCAAATCAATGTTACATAATCTGAAATAAGTCAATGATTAGAAAAATATAGAAACTGAGATAACAATTATAAAATTATAACATGACGTAATAAGAAGTGTTCAGATAATTGGACCATGAAACGTATAGTTGAGAGAAAATAAAGTGGTAGGAGGGTGTGAAGAAAAATAATAAACGAAGAGAATAAATAAATACATTCATTTATTACTTAAGGCCAAGGGAGAGATAAGGGAGTTACAAATTTCTTCTGGACACAAAGACTTGGCTTGTTGGCTCGGATTCCTATAGCTTCTGCTATGTGTAAGAGACGAGATCGAAAACCATAAGGAAAACTAGTGGGAATCCTGTAAATAACTTTGAACGACTTGTTTCTGTCCACTATATGACCGCTATCGATCAAGTGTGATAGAACCGAGCTGCGTATTGTTTTGACATAGCCTTTTCCTAACCACGAAGGGAGGTGTTCACTAACTCGTTGGTTCAGTTGCCTGGTAGTGCGCCCAATATAGCTTCCTCCACAGGAGCAGCTGAATTCGTAGATACACATAGAAGTGGCATAACCAGGTAACTTATCCTTCAATTGCGGAATCACCATCGATCGGGTCGAATACGATAGGCAGAGGTTGGCAGCATTAAACGTTCTCTTTACTGATTTAGTCAATCTATCTCGTAATACATCGCTAGCCACATCACCATTGAATTGCAGTTTCAAGAAAAGTGGTTTCTTGTTAGCCGTCAGGGTCACTATTTTCCTGTTTTTTACGCGCAAGTGTTTCTTCAGGAAACCCAGTGGATATCCTAATTCAATAAAAATATTATGAATGTGTTGTAATTCTCTATCGATAGTGTCGACTGAGCATATCTTAAGAGCTCTATTTGCAAGGCATTTGACTAAGTTTCTCTTATAATGAAGAGGCACAAAGCTTAAAAAATGTGTGTATTGGCTAGGCGAAGAACTTTTCCTATACACACCCCTGCTGATAGAACCATCTTCTTTTCTACTTAACAAAACGTCCAGAAAATTTAGTTTGTTATCTATTTCCTCCTCACATGTAAATTTAATAGCAGGATGTTTGTTATTAAATAGTTCCAGTAGTTGTTCTTTTCTAAGGTTTTGATCGGCAATGATGAAGGTGTCATCAACGTAACGACAGTAGAAATCCAGTTTATTGATAACCTCCTTGAGAGGTCCGTTTTCTAGTTTCGCCAGAAAAAAATCCGCAAGGATGGGACCTAGTGGCGAACCCATCGCTATACCATCAATTTGTCTATAATATGTTATTAAAGACAAAATGGACATTCATTGTGCATTTTAAAAGTAATTCTTTAAGACTAACCCCAGGAATTCCAATATTGATTTGTTTTTCCTGCAGTTGTTGGCACACAAAATCGATAGTCTCTGTTAACGGCACATTGGTGAACAGGGAAGCAACATCTAAAGATATCATTCGTTTCCCATTTAAATTTATATGTTCCACTTTAGATATGAAATCGAAGACGTCTTTCACGCTTCTATTGACGACTAATTTGTGTAAGGGGTTTAGGATACGAACTAGCCACTTTGCAGTTTTATGATAAGGCGAATTATACATATCTAAAACTGGGCGAAGAGGAAGACCTGTCTTGTGAACTTTAGGTAAGCCATATAGTCGCGGTGTGTTCGATCCAGTAGGCTTGAGTGAGTCATGTAAGTCAGGAGTAAGAATACCTTTATTTCTTAATTCCTTCAGTGAGATAGTCAGCAAT